AACTAAATTAAAAAACATTATTATTATTATTATTTTTTCCGTTTCGTAATTTTTCATTTTTCATTTTATTTTTTCTAATTAAAAGTTGTACCAACGTAAAAAAAAAAAAAAAAATTATTCGATTTCTCGAATGTTCTACCTAACGATTTGCATTTAAAAAAAAAAATTTAAATACACGATAGTATTATTATTATTATTATTAATAAATGATCTATGGATAAATTAATAATAAAAAATTATCGTTGTGAAATCGATAGATCGATCGATCGATCGATCGATAATTTAACGATTTATTATCATTCGTTCGTTTCATAATTACGATTAAAAAATTAATCTCTCTCTCTTTCTTTCTCTATGAAAGGTTCAACTGTCGTTGCACTCTATGAAAATTCACGGTTTTTTAATTTTTACCATCGTTCACGTGTCATTCCATTCGATTTAGTTTCTTTTTCCACGATCATTCGAACCGTTAAAAAAAAATAGAAAAAGAACTCATATTAATAATGAACATATATAGATGGATCGTTCAACTAAAGATTTTTACGATATATCTATCTACCTATCTATCTATCGTACGTTGTACGTCGTTTTTAAAAAAATTTGATTTGTTAAAATTAAAATTTCCTTTTTGAGAGAGAGAGAGAGAGAGAGAGAGAGAGAGAGATGAATTTATTTATGAAAAGAAAGAAAGAAAGAAAGAAAAAAATTTTTTTAACTTAATATTAACGTAGTAGGAGTGTAAAAAAAAAAAAAAAAAAAAAATCGGCGGCGTGGTGGGATATAAAAACTGTAACGCAACATGAGTAGGTATTCAGTCCCATTTTTGGGGTTGTCTTGTACTTATCATACAAACTAATAATGAAGTACACGGTAAGTTGTTTTAGTTTTTTTAAAATGAAAAATTTTTTGTTTTTGTAATGGTGGCATTACACGTTTATAGAAAATTATTTTTATTTTTATGTGTGTATTTATTTATTGTGAAGTTTTCGGTTTTTTAGTCGTGAATTGTAGTATTTTGTGTACCTAAAAAGTTTTGTACTTGAAGGATCGTGTGCTGTCGTCTACTGTCGTCTGCTGAACATAAATTTTGTTATGTAACAACGCTTTTGTTTTTCTTTTTTAGATTTTATTCGCATTGACAGCTCTTCTTGCCCTTTCGCGGGCCGAAAAAACATCTAAACAAGAACAAAGTTCAGGAGTTGATACCGAAGATAAGAAAACGAGCAAGAGAGGAATTCACAGTTTTGGACATGGATTTGGAGGAGGTGAAATAAGTTTCGGCGGCGGTGATTTCGGCGGTAGCTTCGGAGGTGACGATCATCATCATCATCATCATCACGATGAACATCATCACCACGTTAAAACCATTACATTGACCAAGGAAGTTCCCGTACCTTATCCGGTGATTAAAAAAGTTCCATACCCCGTGAAAGAAATCGTCGAGAAACCAGTACCGTATCCGGTTGAAAAGCACGTTCCGGTTCACATCAAAGTTCCAGTCAAGGTACCGTATCCAGTACACGTTAAAGTTCCAGTCGAAAAGAAGGTACCCTATCCAGTTCACGTGCCTAAACCATACCCAGTACACGTCGAAAAACCAGTTCCCTATCCGGTTCATGTCAAAGTACCAGTCCACGTACCCGTAAAAGTTCCAGTACCTCATCCTTATCCAGTTCACGTCGAAAAGAAAGTACCATACCCAGTAACGGTTGAAAAACACGTACCCTATCCCGTACACGTTGAAAAAAAGGTTCCGGTTCCAGTTCACGTTAAGGTGCCTTATCCTGTTCACGTTGAGAAAAAAGTACCAGTACCCGTTCACGTAAAAGTACCTTATCCAGTTCATGTAGAGAAAAAGGTTCCATATCCTGTTCACGTAGAAAAGAAAGTACCAGTTTACGTTAAAGTTCCCGTTGAAAAACCCGTACCCTATCCGGTTAAGGAAGTCGTAGAAAAGCCAGTACCGTACCCGGTTAAAGAAGTTGTAGAAAAACCAGTACCATACCCAGTCAAAGTACCTTATCCAGTATACGTAAAAGAACATCATGAACATCACGAACACCATCACGAAGGAGGAGATGATGTTGGATTCGGTGGTGGCGGCAGCAGCGAAGGATTAGGAGGTTCCAGTTTGGGTCACGAAGAAGGAGGATTTGGAGGTTTTGGAGGTGGCGACGAAGGCCACTATTAAAACGGTAAAAGACTCACTTCCGTATAATTTATTTTCTCTATAAAAATTTTTTTCTTAAATTCTCTTTTTTATTATTATTATTATTTCTACTGTCACAATACTCAAAAATGGGATACATAATATTTGTTAGAGCAACAAACGACAAACAACAACAACAACATCGTTTGTTATCGTTCTTTTCTTCTAACTTTTTCTTTAACTTTTCTTAAACAGGTCTGGATTATTACTAAAAAAAACTTTTTTTTTTTTTGGTTCTAGTCAGTAAACTACTAAAATTATTATTATTATTATTATTTAAAAAAAAAAAGTCTCACGCTCATTGCTCAAATAATATTTTTTTATTTAAAAATTTTAAATCGTTATCATCCTCCATTTTTTTTTTTTTTATTTCATAGAGTAAAAAAAATTATACGTAGTAGTCCGACCGAAAAAAAAAAAAAAAAAAATTTCCCGGACGTTTTTTCTCTCTCTCTCTCTCTTTCTCTCTTTTGTTTACATCTAATCTTTATATCAAACGCTCAATAATAATAATAATAATATCATCATCATCATCATCGTTGTAGTTACATAAAAAAAAAAAAATTTTTTGAACAAACAAGGAAGAAAAAAAAAAAAATTAATTAATATTATTATAATTATTATTAAATCCGGTATATATGCGTGTCGAAAACAAACAAACAAACAAACAACCGAAAAAAAAAAGTGAGAGTTTATTTTTAGTAGACCGTAAACATAAAAACCTTTTTATTTCGTGTAATTAGATTGTATAAAAATTTTCAAAGGATTTCGACAAATTAAATCCACGTCGATATGTGACGTCATCAATTGTTTTTTTTTTATAATGAGGGAGGGATGCTACACGATTGAGCACGATGCGCAAATGATTATTAATTTAAAATTTTATTTTTGTTATATTGCAGCGTTAGAGTTAAAAAGTTGAAAGAAAGAAAAAGAAAAAATGTCCATGTTATTATGTTTTGTTTTGTTTTTACTACGTACTCTTACTTACTGTTGTTACTTTTAAGATCTCTTTTTATTTCTTTTTGATTGTTTTTTATTTTCTTATGTGATAGATTTTATTATACGTAGACTGCGCTTTGTTCTTGTATAAATGTAAAGTTTGTATATTCATTACAATAAAAAAATTAATAAAAAAAAATAAAACATTTGTTGTTAAGAAAAATTGAAGTTTTTAACGTTTTTTAATATACTATCCAATAATATTTCCTTTTAATAATAAAACGACAAACGATTTGTAACGTAACAAACTTTTTTGTTTGTTATTGTTTACACGCGACGATTTCTCAATTGTTGTTGTTGTTTAATAATGACAATTAAATTTGATAATGTAATCACAAAAAACCCTTGGGATGAATCCGTGTTAATTTTTTTTTGGAATTTACCAAAGACGACAATTAAAATAATAATAATAATAATAATAATAATAATAATAATAATAACAACAACAACAAACGTTTTAATTTTATGTGTAGAAAAAAAAGTAAAAGTTTGTCGTTTGTTTAATTTTTTATAAAATTTTCGTCAAAAAAAAAGAAAAAAATTCAAACGACAACAAACGACAACGCACCGATTTTACAAAACAAACAATTAATTCACCATAAATAATAATAATAATTTTAATTACGAGAAAGAGAAAGAGAGAGAGAGAGAGAAAGAGAGACATAATCTTGACCTTTGTTACGATTAAATAAATTATAATCGTTTAAAAAAAAAATGATAATAAAAAAAAGTAAAAAATTTCTAAAGAAAGTAAACAACAACAACCGATTATTAAAAATAACTTTTTATATAAATTTTTTTTTCACTTATCATACAAACAAACAAACAAACAAACAAAAGGAGAATCATCGTGTAAGAAAATCAACAAACAATACTGACTTGCGAAAAAAAGTTTTTTTTTTATTAATTTTATTTAATAATCTGTCAACTACGAACGACGACGACTTTAATCATTATTATTATTATTATTGAGTCGTAAATGTTATTAATTTTTAACACCTGATACCTATACTACCTGTACTACCAACCAGGTACGAGAAAAATTTTTTTTTATTTATTTTCCCGGACGTAATTAAAAAAAAAAAAAAAAAAAAAAGTCCAAACGCGGTCGTTCACGTTATACGGTTAATAAATTTTTTTTTTTTTTTTTTTTCGAATACAGTCAATTAACTCTAAATCATATTTATATATATATTTCGGGTAAATATATTAGCAGACGACAAAAAAAAAACGTTGCCATTTCGAATGTAAATTTTACTCCCAAAAAAAAAAAAAAAAAAATTAAACGCATCGTTTGTTTACGTAATAAAAAAAAAAGAAAACATTAAACGTTACGACGACGTTCTTATTTACACGATAAGAAAAAAACGTGTGATGATAACAGCAAAAGGGGGGTAGTAAGTAGTAAGAGGGGAGGTGGAGTAGTAAGAGGGTAAAAAAATTCAAATATGGCCGCGGTGAGCATAATGAAAAAAAAAAAAATTTTTGTTAATTACGAGCATTAAGGACACGAGACTTGAGTAATTTTTTTTTTTTTTTTTGAAAAATTCATCTCGCGTTCGAAACCCTTCATTTTATTTATATAATCGTTATCATTATTATCACTATTATCATTATTATCATTTCGTTTTTTTGCCATAAAAAAAACTTTTCCCACATTTAAATTGTGTGTGTGTCGGAAAAATTTCCCGCTTTAAAAAAAAAAAAAGCGAAAATGATGATGATTTTTAAATTTCAATGGGGTAATATTTAAATTGATGATAATAATAATAATAATAAAAAGACTTACCTTATGTAAGGTACGTTTGCCGGTATGTGATATTTGGAACCTGGATCGAAATCGAATTCTGATCGTAGTAAGGGTGGTTTAACCCCTAAATAACGTTCCCTGTTTAAAAAAAAAAAAAAAAAAAAAAAAATTTTAAATTATTTTATTCCTTTTAAACATTCTAGAAAATTCTATTAATTAATTATAATTAATTTATTATTAATATTATCAACAAACAAACAAACAAATTAATTTGTACAAACAACCAAAATAACGTACAATCGATGAGATTAAAATTGATAATAATTATAATGATGATAATAAAGTTAAAAACAAATAGAAAAAAAAATAAAATATTTTGGAAATTTCGTTCCAGAACATTCCAAAAAAAATTAAAAAGAAGTATGAAATTAAATACGAAGGTGGGGGGAAAATTAATTTAATAAACAAACAAACAAACGAAAAGAATATCGATGATGTTTAAAAAAAAAGTTTTTAATTAATTGCAAATCTTGATTTTTTTTTTTAATTAAGTTTCCGGTACGTAACGTAAAAGATTTTTATCCGAAATTTTTTTTTTTTTTACTACGTAAATATACGTGGGGGAAGGGGGGAATGGAGGGGGAATAAATCATCGTCTTCTGCTTTCACCAAAAAATTTCTGATATAAAAAAAATAAAAAAATTATCACGCCTGTGTTTGCATGTACGTGCGTGTTGTTATATTATTATTATTTAACGGATTTTATTAAATTAAAAAAAAAAAAATTATTTAAAATCATTAATTTAATCGTTTCACGTGCGATTAAAAAAAAAACTATATTTTATAGTCTATAAAAAAAAAAAAAAAATGGCGAGAGTTTCGTTTTAATCTCATTTAAATTTTATATAAAAAAAAAGAAATTTTTTTTTTTTTTAAACGTTCGTTATAATTATATAGTTTGACGCTATATTTTTTTTAATCACGAATCAGAATATATTTTATCTACGCTCTATAAAATTATAAATTGATAATAATAATGGTAATGATAATGATAATTACTTTTTCTATTTCGTATTCGTCAAAATTAAAAAAAAAAAAATTAATTTCTCTTTTTAAAAAAAATTTTGTTCTCTTTCTAATAATATTACAAAAAATCAGGGTTTTCTTTTTCTAGAACTTTCGTTTTAATAAAAAAGGCTTTTTTTTTGTAAAATAACTATTATGAAAAGATAAAGAGGTATTTTGTCGTAATCAATCAATAATTTATAAATTGGTTACTTTTTTTTTTTTATTTACTTTATTGATCGTGATTGGTCTTATGCAATTTTATATAATTCTCTCTTTTATTTTATTTACTTAAAAGGTCGTTGGCAATCTTTTTTTTTATGTATTTAAGTAATTTTAAAAAAAAAAAAAAAAAAACTCAAGTAAATGATTAATAAAAAGTACTTTAAAATTTAAAAACCCAAAACAATAACAAAAAGCTGACACCTGGCGGATTAATAATAAATTAATAAACAAAACAAAACAAAAAAAAACCGCGAAAAAAGTAACTAATACGTTTTGAATTTTTTTTTTAAATTTTAGTTAAGTGCAACGACGGTAGAGATCGCGATAATCGGAAAAACATTAAAATACCTTAAAGAATGCCAATGACAATTAAATTGTTCCTTTGAAACGACTCGCTTGAACACGTCCCATCTCCATTTATCCATGACGTAAGCAAATGGCAAAAATGGCAATTTATCCATTGCCAAACTAAATAAATAATTTATATCTAATGGTACGTCGTCTATTGATGTTTGTATCAAACCTAATTTTTGTAAATGAGTCGGACCACCGACGGAAAGTGCAATCATTTCTCCAATGGCTTCGTGAAAACCTAAAAAAAAATTTTTGTATTTAAAAATTGAGAACTTTTCCCCTTGTAAGAAAACCGGTTTAATGTTACGAACCTGGATTTGCACCATCTCTGAAAACTTTAGGTTGATTTTTATATTGTAAAAAATATTGTATGTGACCCATTTCGTGATGCATCGAAACAAAATCTTTCATGTTAACTTTAGCGCACATTTTTAATCTGCCATTAAAAAAAATTTACATTTAATTTAAAATCGAATATGAAAAAAAAAAAAAAAAAAAAATTTATGGGATTACCTGTAATCCTGACGATTGCAAAAATCCCATGCGGATGCTTGACAATTAATTACTCTTTCGGGTATTTCCGTAATTATTGATCCAGCCCAAAATTCTGGAGGCATCGCACTTAAATTCATTGATATAAAAAATTCTTCGGCTAATTGAAGCATGGTTAGGGGTGTATATCCCTGGATTTGCATGTTTGGCGTGACGTCCAGTAAAGTTTTACCGGGATACGGTAACGTCACGTCTAATATGTTCGTCCACGATTGTGCCCACATATTCCCTAAAAAAAATACCCAAATTTTTTTAACGTCGGTTCGTTTTTAAAGTAAACGGGAAACGCCATTTTTAAATACCTAATATATGAGACGGAAGTGGTGCACGATTACTTATTTTTTCCGGTCCATAAAGATCCCTCAATTTTCTTCTCACGTATGCATGAAGTTGTTCGTACAGGGGTCTTATTTGTGACCAAACTTCTTCGATCTCTTGTTCGAAATTAGGTGAATCGTATGGAAAATTCCACATTTCTTCCGCATCCGTAAAATCTATATTAAATAATAATAATAATTATTATTTCCGTTTGAATTTTTTTTTAATAATAAACAAATGTACTCACTGTTTAATTTAGCTGCTTCGTTTGTCAGGTCTACCAACTGATCGTACATATCTTTTATGTATTGTCCGGTACGTCTTCTGAATTCGACCCAGGTATGTTGTAATTCATCCCAATCCCGACTTCTTGCCATTATCACCGTCAAATCTAACAAAAAAAAAAAAAGAAAATTTTATCATACTTAGAAAGTAAAATTTAAAAATTTTATTTCAATATTTTCACGTACCTGGACTAAGTCGAAGATTACATCGAAAAGGTTCGTTATATGCGCATATGGATGCTCGACCGTAAACGGCAACCATTTCGCTAATCATTCTATTATACTGTAAATAAAAAAAAAATTCGTTAATCGATCGATATCGATTTAGATAATCGATACTAATTACGTTCGATTATTAAAATATTAAAATTTATTACGTTTACGCTATTAGATAGTTTGGGAGAGTGGGAGGGGGGGGTGGAAAAAGAAAATTTTTGACAAACCCTTTCGTAATCGTCGATCGGTAGTGCAGCTGCACCAACAACAGATAAATATCTTAATTCTCTCCATAATTTTGAATTGTAAAATTTATTATATTGTATTTGTTTTAATATTTCTGATATTTCTCTATCGAAAGCTGCGTGATTTTGTTGTGCACTCAACTGCAACATAAAAAAAAAAAAAACATATTTTGTTTAAACTTTAAACATTGCATGTTTTGACATAATTTTGTATGTAAACGTTTCATGTAATTATACTCGTATATGATAATTATTTAACTGAAATAAAAATTTAAATTACTGGGAATCGTTAAATATTCCTGTAATCCAACTACTAGGAAGTCAGGTATGGAAGTGGATGTTTTGAGAACGAAGGTTTTGGAATCCTGACTGGAATCGATACTGGAATCAACGTATTGAAGGAGCCAGATTGGCTGAGAAAGAATGAATAGGGAGAAAACTCAGCAATCAAAAGTACCCATGTTGCATACTTTTCTAAAAGTGTCCTTTTTCCTATCGGAGTGATAAACGACAGCAAATGAAGACCTTGCATCGAGAAAGGAAAAAATTCGCAACATTGGACACCTTTCTCTATCTCCGGAAACATTCGAATCATCGGAAAAAAACTCGGAGGGATGAGGAAGAAAAATTTTGCATAAATTCGATTAGGGGATCCTTACGGAGAGACCCCTTATTAAATGAATCACCGAAGGGAGGAGATTTCGCCCTATCTTAAAGTACAAAATCCTCCCATTGCCGAATGTCTATATATTCCTTCGCCTGAGCAAACGTGGGAAAAATATAACAAAGGTGGCAGTGACACGTTTTCAATCCTATGACGCAGGAACGTGGTTGTTACACGCAATGCGTGCGGAACCAAGGTTCTGCCTCATGGGAGAGCACTCGGGCTGAAATTCCCTCGGGATGTCCTCCTCCTTCTCTTCTCTCCAAATATAAACCTAAAGAAGTGCATAAATGCATTTCTCTTGAGTCGCCATTATCAAAAAAAGTGTTTCGGAACAAAAATTCGAAAATTCTTTTATCAACATGCGAATTATTATTATTATTACCATCAGAAAACTCGTGTGAGTGTGCAAAATGTAGAATAAAAAATTAAAAAAATTGATTTACATTAAATTGTTTCAAAACTTTTCAAGGTTTATTTTAAATATTTTCCCACGATATGTTTTTCCAGTTAACTAATGAACCTTAAAAAATTTTATTTGATAGAAAAATTTACTTATAAAAAAAAAAGACCAAATTCATTGAAGCAAATAATTAAATCTTATTAAAAAAAAAACGTCCGACATATTGTTTAAACATTAATAAAAGGCAGCGAAAAAAAAATTTTAACCTCATCTGGTTAAAAAAAATTTCAACGGTATTTTTACATTTAAAAAAAAATTATTACATCGATCGTATCGTTCGATTATAAATAATAATAATAATAATAATAATAATAATAATAATAATAATAATAATAATAATAATAATAATAATAATGACTCATACTATGGAAACAAAAAAAAAAAAAACTTTTTTTTTATTAATCGAATGTTTGCCTGACTTAGGTCAGCTTTGTGAAAATTTTATAAATTTTTCCCAAAGATTTAAATGTCATCCATTGTCAGTCGTCACGATTTTCTGATGATGACTTTTTTCTTTTTTTTCTTCCTTTTCATTTAACGTAAAAACACAAAAAACACAAAAACATAATAAAAACATAAATTGTTTAAATTTAACAACAACAACAACTTAATTGAAAATCATGTTATTAACCTACAAAAAAAATTATCAAACGTCCTTTTTTTATTATTAATTATTTTATTATTATTATTATTATTATTATTATTATTTTTTTTTTTATGTTCTCTGCTGAACAACATCAATAATAATAATAATAATAATTGATTTTTTTGTTGTAAAACTTACGGCATTTATTTGAGTTATGTCATTAACGTTAGTTTCATACTCCCATTGTGCATAAACATTTGCACTGCACTGTTCAGACCCAACATTATCCAAATTCGAAAGTAACAACATGAGTTCGTGTATCGGAATAAAAACATTTTGATTGTTTTGTCCAAATGGCGATGGATCAACATTATAAGAAACATTTTTAAAATTATCATCGTAATATTGATTTTGAGATGGATCGTAACGAGTATTCGTTTGATAAGAATTTGTCGTTGTCGTGGTTGTAGTAGCAGTGGTACCCTGTTGTCCGTATAAATAAACAGGAGGTTGTGAATCGTATCCGCGACCGGAAGTTCTATATTCGTACCGAACGGGTAAATTTTCATTTATGTATGGATTCGTATTGATTGGTTGTTGTACGAATTGTGGTTCGCATAATAACGAATTCGAAAAATAAAAAAATAATAAAAAATATGAAAACATTTTTTTAAAATAAACACACGCACGCACGCACACAAAAAAATCCCGCCAAAATTTAAAATTCCCGACGATAACAAAAAAAAAAAAAAATTTTCTTCTTCTTCTGTCTGAACACTTGTGTATTCTTTAACCGACTAATACTAAGTTATCATTGTTTTCATAACGCTGTGATAACTCACAGACTCTTTCGTATAATAGGTACCCTTCGAAAATTTAACTAATAACAAAACAAGGACTTAAGTGTTTAATTTGATTAGTACCTGTTTTCAATTTTCCTACAGACAAAACACTCATAAGCGAAACATTTCCCCCCCTCTCTCTCTCTTTCTTTGTCTCTTTCTCTCTCTCTCTCTCAAATAAAAAAAAATTATTCGACTGCTACTACTACTACTATTACGTTCAAACAATAATAATCATTATTATTACACTAAACGCCTTCCATATTATTATTATTATTATTATTATTAATTTTTATCCCGAGATTCTTACATGCGTGTAAATAAATAAATAAATCTATTAAAATCTAATAAGAAAAATAAATGATAATGATAATAATATATGATATGATGACGTAATTAACGAACGTGTTGTTGATGAATCGTTTTTTTGAACGTGTTAATTAAATTTCTATTACGTAATAAACTTTCGTGCGGATAAATCATTAGAAAATTATTATTATTATTATCATTATTATTATTATTATTATTATTATTATATTAATTTTAAATATATGTATACTGAAATTAATATATATATATTGTTAAATAATAAGTTTAACGTTGACGTCATCATCGCCATCACCGTCACGTCGTCGTTTTTTTGTCGTTCGTAATTAATTAATTTTTCTTATGACGTCATTATATTAATATGAATATAAATTGTAATATATATTCAAATTCGTGTTTTTATATCGTGACGATTTAAAATGGTTTAAACTTGATAATAATAATAATAATAATTATATGGAATTATATCATTGTCATTATCAGATCAAGGATATTATTTCGTTCAAGGCTTATATAATATATATAAATTATTTTATGCGGTTAAAATTTTTTTTAAATTTTTTCACACGATGAAAAATTCCAGAATTCGAACAAACAAACAAACAAACAACAAATAACAAACAACAACAACGACAAAGGTAAAAAAAGAAAAAAAAACTTTTATTCTGTCGTAATTGTTTTGTTATTTTCATTTTTACAATTTCATATACTTGTTATCGATTGTTCGTTTGTTTGTTTGTTTTAACATAACAACATCCTTACGACATTTTGTCGCATGTTTTTTTTTTTTTTTACAATTAATTTTATTGTTCATTCGTTTTTTTTAACAAGACGACAAAATAAAAACTGTATCTTTAGAGAGGTGGGTCAATGTTATTTTGTTTTACATTTAAATCGAATGGAATTTCGTCATTAAAAACAAAAAAAAAAAAAAATGAGAATGAAAGGAAGAAACGCGAATCGTTTCGAAATCTGGAAAATCCTCTCCTCCCTCCCCCCCCCCCAAAAAAAAAAACATCAAAAGGAAAAAGCAGAAGAAAAAAAATTGGATAAGAAATAAATTTACCGTCCCTTTCTTATACTCGAAAGGGGAAAAAAAACAAAATTCATCGCAATAATAATAATAATTCGTACGACACGTTACGAACGCACCCCCTACTCCCCCCACCCGAAAAAAAAAATCGTCCAGAAATTTTCACTGGAGGTAAATAAAAAAAAAAAAAATTTTTATCATTTTTTATTACTCGTTTGTATAAATTCAAAGTTCGTTTTTTTTTTTTTTTTCGAATTCATCATCGAATTCATCGAATCATTTAAAATTATTAAAATATACAATGATAATGATAATAATAATATCATCATTATTATTTTTTATATATCCGTTAACACACGCACTCACAAATACAAAAAAAAAAAAAAAATAAATATAAATATTTACCCACGTTCTATATATCATAAAAGTATTCACGTGTGCGTTTACGTGTGCGCGTGCGCGTGAGCCTCCATATTTTTCTTATTTTATTTACCTTGAATGAATTTTTTTTTTAACGATCATGTGAAATTTAATAATCGGGGGAAAAAAAATTCGCATAATTGATGATTTGTGAAAGCAAATTAAAAGTTATTATTACTCAACGATTGACATTGATTTACATCCATTACTATTATTATTATTATTATCATTGTCGTCGTCGTCGTCGTCGTCGTCGTCGTCTAACGTCTAGAAAAAATTAAATTTGTCTTTTTTTGTGGGGGTGGAAGGGGGGGGAATAAATTGATCAAAAGGTCAAAATGTCAACAAAAAAAAAATTTTCCATTCGCATTACGACAGACAAAAGACGAATTTTTCAAATTTACCCTCGATTTATTTATTTTTATAAAATTATTATTATTATCATCGCCGCCATTTTTTTTTTCAAAATTTAACGAATGGGGATTTCGAACTACATTACAAAACAAATAATAATAATAATAATAATGATAACAAAGATACATTTAAATAATTAGAAATCGGCGGGTTTTTTGTTTTTCTTTCTTTTTACACTTCCGTTAATGAAACAAAAGAATTCAAAAAAAATGTAAACTTTTGCATTTCCGGTTATTTGAAACAAATACAAACAAACAAACAAACGAACAAAGAAATAAAAAAAAAAAAGATTCGACACAAAGTTTAAAAAACAAAAAAAAAAAAAAATTTCGTAACGAAAAAATTTAAATTTTTTTTTTTACGACAAAGTTCGTTAAAATTTCGATCCAGAAAAAAAAAACCGGAAGTGAAATCATTAAAAAAAAAGGAAAATTTCCTTATTTGTCAATTTTTCAATATTACCTAAAAATCCTTAAATTTAATTAACAAGTCATTCGTTAATTACTTTTTTTTTTTTCGTTCTAATTAATCATCGAATTTTTTTTTTTTTTTTTTCGTTAAGCTTTCAACTATTTTTTTACATAATTTTTTTTTTCAATTTCATAATAAATATAAGTCATAGAATAAATAAACCATTTGTTTATTTATTCTATGATTTAAAAAAAAATAATAAAAACATTCGAATGTGAAAAATTTAAATAATAGTAAAATAATAATAATAATTTAAATGATAATTTTATATATATTTATGAATTTATACGTTCGTTTGTTTGTTTCCTGTTTGTTTGTTTGTTTACTAATTACACGACAAAATTTTATTTTTTTAAAAATGATTTAATTTATCGTTTAGGAAATAAAATTTCTTTAAAAAAAAAAAAAAGTTTCGAAATTTTTTTTTCCGATTCCAGAAAAAAATCATCTCACCTTCGTCGTCACACGTATTTGAATATTTATTAATTAAAAAAAAAAAACATTTTTATGTTGGGTTTTTTTAAAAACAAAAACGTAATGATAACAACAACAACAAACAAAAGGGCAGTAAACCTTGAAAATCCGGCTTTCCTTTGTGTGTTAAAAAAAAAAAAATTTATGCAGATGTGTGTGTATCTTTTTTTTTTTTGTTTTGACCTTTCGTTTGTAATTTCCATCATTTTTCTTATTTTATTTACTACAACACGAATCTCCAGGAAATTATGTAAAGGGAAAGGGGGGAAGGGGGATGCAAAAGCATCGGGAAAAAAGGGGGGGCATTGTGTGATCGTAAGACGTCAATAATAAATCATTATTCGTTTTTATTCTCTGGAGTGTCAGTTATCAATTCTGCTCCAGCCGTTTAATTCCGACGAATTATAAAAACTAAAAACTTACCTGGAAAAATAATAATAATAATAAGAATTATTATTATTATTATTACTATTATTAATTAATTAATTAATTATGTACGTAAGTTTACGCGTGAGAAAATTCTTTCTATAACATATCATCGCGCAAAACGACTTTTAAAAAAAACACAATTTTTTATTTTTATTTTAATTAAAATGACGATGCAAAATTATCATTATTATTATCATTATTATTATTATTATTATTATTATTATTATTATTATTATTAAACATTTATTTACGTAATTAATAAATAAATAAATAAATAATTATTATTAAACATGAGGTGACGTGAGAGATCAAGCGCATGGATGAATTGCCATTTTATTATTAATTTATTTTATTTTATTTGTTTACTTTTAAAGTTTATTAATTATTATTATTATTACTACAACCATAATTGTTTATTATTATCATCATCATCATCATCATCATCATCAAACCCTTATAAACCATTTTAACCGGTTTAATTTGTTTTCCTTTTTTTATTAAAACTGTCAACATTTTTTACAAAAGTGATTTCTGAACGTACTTTGATTATGACGTAAACACAAACGAATTATTGTTATTAAATAATAAATAACGAGAAAATGTCACGTGATAAATGAGGGGAGGGAGTCATATAATAATAAAAACAAAAAAAATTCGCATGAATTCAAACCGACAAAGTCGTATCTCTCCGAAGTATTATTATTATTATTATTTTCGATTGTTTTTTTTTTACAAAGTCGTCGCACAATTGACCTTAACCCCGACATTTATTTAAAATAATAAATTAAAATAATTAATTATAACGATGATGATGATGATAAGCATTTGCTTATAAGGAATCGGGTAGAAACCTGAAGTGTATGTTGGAAAACTCTGACGAACGCAAAATAACAAATCAACGTCATTAAAAATGATAATAATAATAATAAAGAGTACACGTGACTTTATTAAAATATAATACGTTAAATAATAATAATAATTATTATTATTATTTATTATAATAATTATTATTATTATTATCACACGTAGAAAATTAATAGAAATAATTTTTTTTTCTTCTTGTGATTGGTTATCGCTATTCGTATTATTACCGTAATTATTACGTTGAAATTATTATTATTATTTTTTGAATACGGCGAATCCCATGTACCTGTTTAGGTACATAGGTAGGTAAGTTTTTCAACATTAATTCCAGGTTTCTATCCGATTCCTTAGTGTTGCTGCTGCTTTCGAAAAATGTGAGCCGTCTCAAATTTCCTTTTATCGAATGTGGCCTGGCTACCAGTTCTGCTCCCACGATCCCCGGAATAGTTTCTGCCTTTACTCCCCACATCCTAAATCCTATTTCAAATCCTTTTGCCCGCTTCTTTGACTGTCTGGTATTTCCTCCAGGTACGCATCGGGTCTCAGTACCGTATCCGGTTCGTTGGCTTCCACAGTTCAATCAGTGTTAACTTATTAATCATATTGCAGTACCATTCCCTGACTATTCCATTCATTCCACATTCATTCTCCATTAAAGACATTAACAAATTCTATCGTGTTATTATTACTATTATTTTTTGTGCGTATAGAATTTATAAAAATGACGAAAAAGGTTTAGTACAGTGAAAAAAAAAAAAAAAAACGAATCGTAATCGTGAAAGTTTAATTTGTTCTTTGATGTTATGAACAATAACAATTATTAAAAGGAAAAAGTAAAAGGAAAAGAGAAAAAAAAAGAAAATTATGTTAAAAATCTAGGCCGAAGATGTCGAGAGTAGAAATAAATTCGACGTAATGAATGAAAATTACTCGGGGAAAGGGATGAATTAATAATAATGATAATAATCACGACAGGCTTTTATTTATCCGTAAGATAAACATGAAAACAAACAACGAAGAAAAAAAATGCAATTAAGGGGATTTGTTAAAGAAAAAATTATTTCGAATTTGTTCAGTAATAATAATAATAATAAATAAATTTACGATAGGTACAGAAATTAAAATATTAATAATAATAATAATAATAATAATAATTAATTAATTTAAATGACGTATTATTTATAGCGATTAAATTCGTCATTATTCTCGATTCGGATGAACGATAAGAATAATTTAATAAATAATTAACGTAATTTTTAAACTCTCTTAATCTCATACATAATTCTTTTATATTAATCATGTCGTGTAATCGCAATACGTAAGCGTGATATAATAAAACAATAAAAAAAAGACAACAGGAAACGTTCATTCCAGTCCCTCCATTCGTACTTAAATAATAATAATTTTTTTCCTTCATTTTAAAATTTTCCTGAAATAAAACCCCCCCCCAAAAAAAAAAAAATTATTAATCATTAATACAATTTATTGGGATTTTCACAAACAAATATTTTCACGTGTTTCCATACGTTACCGATATTATCCAGTGACGTCACGAAAATTTATTTTTAAAAAAACCGGAAATAGTTTTAACTTCCGCAGGTTCTCACTCTATCCGACGCCATTTCCTATTATTATTTTTATTATTTAAATAAAAATTTTTATTTTGATTTTTTTAATTTTTACACCTAAAAATAAAATTATAAATTGAATCCATGTAAAAAATTATTATAATAATAATAATTATTATTATTATTATTATTTCTTACTCGAAGGAATGAATCGATTAAGGGTTTTTATAAAATGTTTTTTGGGGCCCTAAGGGCCCTTTTCCATTCATGTGAAAATTTAATTTATTATAACGATCGAATAAGGAAACAAAGGTCAAAAGGGTAAAAAAAGATTTTAAGAATTTTATCGTGGCAGGAAATGAATTTCACAATAGCCAACATAAAAAAAAAAAAAAAAAAAAACAAAAGGATTGTTGTCTTAGGCGGAAACCATGTAAATAGTTGAGAGAAAAAGCAGACGATAAAAATTGTAGGAAGGAAAAAAATTCCGTTAGTGTAAGAAAAATAATAATAATAATAATAATAATAATAATAATAATAATAATAATAATAATAATAATAATTCGATTGTTATTTAATGAAAATGCGGGGCAGCATTCGATTCTAAAAAAATCAAAATTTCAAAACAAAAAAAAAATTTTTTTAAATTTATTTACCTGTAATTAACTTACCTGTTAATAAAAAATTTAACAAATTTTTACAAAATTTAAATTCACTATTTTTTTCCCGCCATTTTTTAAATTTTAATTTCCTTTTTTTCCCCCCTTTCTATTATTCCGAAAAGTTTTTTTTTTT